GGAACGACATCTTGAGCTTGACCTCGGTCTCGACGATTATTCCATTGACCTTTCATCATAGCCGACGTCGGCGTGTCCATCATCGGCGCAGACTTTCTCCGACATTACGACCTGACAGTAAACCTGCGGAATCACCGGCTGAGCGACCCAGTATCTTCCCTTCACTCCATTGGACAAGTTTCCCCTTCCCCCGCTGTTAGCATTCACCTTACAATCGCCAATTCGCCTTACTCCAGGATACTCAGACAATTCCCAGAGCTCACTAGTCAGAATCTTGTAAAAAGTCCTCCCCGTCACTCAGTGACTCATCATATCGTCACAAAGGGCCCTCCGATTGCAGCAAAACCGCGACGACTCCCCACGGACAAACTCGCCGCGGCAAAGAAAGAATTCGCCTTCATGATGGAGAAAGGCATCTGTCGTCCATCCAAATCACCGTGGGCCAGCCCTCTCCACCTAGTACCCAAAAAAGACGGCTCGCTACGACCATGTGGAGACTACAGGAAACTGAATGCCGCTAACCGTCCCCGACCGATATCCAGTCCCTAACATTATGGACTTTGCATCGCATCTGCATGGTAAGAAAATATTTTCTACTATCGATCTGGTTAGAGCGTACCATCATGTTCCCGTGGAATCTAGAGATATCCCTAAGACTGCCGTTATTTACGCCTTTCGGCCTTTTCGAGTTTCCTCGCATGTCCTTTGGCCTATGTAACGCAGCCCAAACCTTTCAAAGGCTCATCAACGAAGAATTCCAAGGTTTGGATTTTGCATATGCCTACATTGACGACGTGCTTATCGCATCCGATTCAGAAAATCAACATGTATCCCATCTTCAACAACTTTTTGGTCGCCTTCAAGACTACGGCCTGACGATCAACGAAACCAAATGCACCTTCGGCCAACCTTCAGTCAAATTCTTGGGGTTTATCATCACCAACGCCGGAATCTCGCCGGACCCTCAGCGAGTACAAGCAATTAAAAAGTGATCCACGTGGGTGTTCATGGGTGTCACCGCCTCAAGCCTGCTTTCACATCAGAAGGACCGATGTTTTCTCAAGACCCGAACTTGGCAAGCCAATAAGATTGCATAGGATCGCTGGAAAGATCCTACTGGAGGGGGAGTAGTGTGGCGACTACACTTTGCTTTAGCGAGCGCGAACTGGGACAAAGATCCACTACACACAGGGGGCAGTGGACGGCATCGGCAACCGCGAGCGTCAACCTGATTACGCATGCGCGCGGGACGTCATCAGAGACTCTGGCCATTCACGCGGTAAACATCTAGGCTTGCTCCAACGGCCGTTACTTCAACCGTATCTTCTTTTCTATTTTTATATTTCTGGCTTTAAATAAATTAATTTTAATTATAATTTTATCAGCAGCCTTTCCACAAGCCACACCAACACATCACGCAACAACCATCCTACAGAGTTAACGAGAGAGAAATTAAATAATAAAAAGAAAATTTAAATTAAAAAACACAAAATTTTATTTTTAAAAATAAAACTAATAATCAATTGTACAATATTATGTTTAAGAATATATCAGTTGATCTCTATTATTTATTCAATAAAAAAGACCCACTCAGAGCGGGGCAGTTCCCAGTATCGAGCGATCATCAAAGGACCACAGAAGGATCCAACTTCACGCTCAGGGAAAGGCCCCCCACCTCCTCATCGCAGGTGGCGTCCCGTCGAAGTTCGGTTATCGAACTGCGTACGAAAATTTAGAAATGATCCCTTGAAGTAAGGTCTTTCAATTTTCTGGGTTCCAGTTCGAATAACTTTTTAGGTGCCGCTCAAAAAGAGCAATCATCGCATTTACAATATACTGTGGGGGACGTACAGGGGTTCATTTACAATTGTAATTTATATTGATGTCGTTGGATCCTCAGGGATCCTTGGGGATATTGTTCTTGAGAAAGTTTTGTCTGGCTTGCTTGATATTCAAGGTGGGTTTATTTTTCCTTTTTTTTCCACTTTTCGTCATTCTGGCTTAATTGATGGAGAATTTGTCTAGGTTTTAAATTTCTTATTTTCCTTTTTCCGCATTTGTAGTTTGTGGCTTCCTTAAAGGTGGGGCTTTCTTATTTTTCGTAGAATTTAAATGATTGTCTAATAATGTAGTCTCTCGCTCTCATTGATGTTTTCGATATTTAGATCGTTCCTGAGGATTGTGTTCCGAACGAACCAGGGTGTAGACATGATTTTTCTGATCATTTTATTTTCGAAGTTTTCTAGCTTTTTAAGGATGGTCTTATGTGCTGTCATAAAAATGGGGTGGCCATATATGAGTATTGGTCTTATTATTAATGTGTAAATGGTTCTTTTTCAATGAAGGGATAATTTGCTTTTCGGTCCTAGAAGCAGGGATAGTCGGTGTTGGGCAGCTTTCGCCAAATTGGTTCTGTTTTCAATATGTTTTTTGAAGGTTAGGTGCTCGTCTAGGGTCATCCCTAGGTATCGGATATTCTCTTTCCATTTAATATTGTCTTCGAAGACAAAGACGTTCGTCCAAAGGTTTTTTAATTTTGTCTTTTTTTCTGGAGAAAATTATTGCTTCACTTTTTGGGGGTTCATTGTGACTCGCAATTTTTTACACCAAATCGTGGAAAAGATACAGGCCTCTTGGAGTTTCATGTGAAGTCTGTCGAGGCCAAAATGGCGGTATCATCGGCAAATAGGTGTCTTCAATACAGGGGAAGTCGTCTATAAATATGTCGAATAAGGTTGGTATTGTGACTGATCCTTGAGGGACCCCAGCAAGGATGTTCCTAGCTGTTGACAGTTTGTCTTTGATTCGTACCCTTGAATGTTCTATTCGTTAAGAAGTTTTGCGTTATTTTTATGATGTCTCCAGGAAGGTGCTTTTTGCACATTTTGTAGAGAAGGGCCTCATGCCAGACTTTGTCGAATGCTTTGGCGATATCGAAGGACACAACTCCTGTTATTTGGCCTAGGTCCATGGCTTTTCTTATTTTTTCAGTGACAACAACTAGCTGTTGCGAAGTTGAGTGCTTGGCTTGGTAGCCAAATTGTTCAGGTCTGAGTGGATTCTTTTCTTCAAGAGATTTTCTAAGTCTCCTTAATACTATTCTTTCATATAGTTTTGAGATGATAGGTAGCAGTGAGATAGGTCTGTAGCTTGCTGGTTCATGTATGGATTTCCATTTTTTAAGTATACGACAGATAATTGAAATTTTCCATTATTCAGGGAAGTGGGCAAGCTCCAGTGAGGCATTAAAGATCTCAGTTATTGATGCTAATATGCGATTTGGGAGCAGTTTAAGAGATTCATTGGGTAATTAATCAATTCCGGGAGATTTTTTATTTGGTAAGTTCTCAATGTTGCTTTTATTTCCCCAATGTTTGTTATTTCTAGTCCTGTTTCTTTATTATTTTGCATATATGTGTTGACATATTTACTGTATGTACAAGTAGATTTAGAATGAGATGTATAGGGATTAGGGATAACTGTTTTTCATAATTATTGACAAATGATTCAGCTGCCTCTTCTGTAGTTAGTGTCTGCCCATTGTTTGTCTTCAGGATGATTTCTTGTTTTTCAGAGTTGGATAGGCGCTTGATGGCTTTCCAAATGGTTTGATTCATGACTTTCAAGTTTTTGATAAATAAGTCCCAGCTATTGTTGTCGTGCTCTCTTGTAAGTTTCTGTGATTCTCTCTGGGCCGTCATGTAGACTGATTTGTCTCGGGGATCACAGTTTCTTAGTCTATTGGTGAATCGTATGGTTTTCTTTAATGTGAGGTGAGTATCTTCCTTCTAATTCTGGGTCATTGTATTTTGCTGATTCTCTCAAGCTTTTCACCATTTGTTCTTCAATGTATGTTATGGCCTCGTGTCTAATTTTTGAAGATGCGTCTAGGACACGGGTCGGCAAACTGCGAATTGCGAGCCACATGCGGATCTTTGGGTATGAAGCAACGGCTCTTTATATAGTTCCATACGCAAATATTATTTATGCGAGTACTATTTATTTTTGCAATAAAAAATGTGTGGCTTTTTGTAAATTGTAATTTTTGACACTTCCGACTCAAAAGTTTGCCGACCCCTGGTCTAGGATAAGTTCGGGAGGTTCAGCGCTTTCAATTTTGTACTTGAAAAGCCCTAATCTATTATTTTGATTTTTACATTTGAGTAGGAGATTTTGAAATCCTGTAGCACAAGTAGTACTGGGAGATGATCGGGGGTTAGTTCATACAAGACTTTAGAGAATGCGCTTTGGGAGATGTTTTTGTGCACGGCGATATCAATGATATCTGGAGGTGAGTCATGTGTGGGTTCGTCAGGGTAGCTCACATCTAGGTCCATAACGTTGATTGCGTTTTGGAGCCTTCTCCCGCTTGGGTTAGTGGTGGTGGAACCCCAGGCAGGGTGTTTGCAGTTTAGATCTCCTGCTATAAGGACCGGAGCTTCTGTTGAGAAACTGTTAACGGTTTGATCTAGGTAGGTGTTTGGTGGTTTGTAGCACGAATACAGGTTTATATTTGACTCGTTTTTATTTCTAATATAAATTCCTGTTATTTCCAGACTTAAGGTGATGGTATGAACAGGTACATAGCTGTATTGTTGGTAGATAAATATGGCTGTACCGCCACCTTGTCCGGTGAGTCTGTCATTCCAGATATTATCGATATCTTAGAACATAAATCGGATCACTTTTTATAGATATATATAATATATATTTTGATATAATTTAAAATTTTGTATTTTTCCTAAAAATCTAGTTTTTAAAAATACCATATTTACAGCGCAAAAAAATACCTTCTCTCTCTCTCTCTCTCAATTAAATAAAAAAAAAGGCGGTGTCCCAAATTTACATATAAGTAAATATCAAAATTTTACATGAGTGGTACTTCTTTTGAACGAAAAATCGAAATTTATTTTAAGGATAAATAACGATTATTTCTAACCTTAGGTATGAAATATGGAAGGATGAATTGTGAAGAGTAATCATGAATGGAAAAATAAAGTATTCAGGGATGGGAATCGAACCCACAGTGTTCCGCTTACCGGGCAGATGCCATGTCCACTAGGCTACCCTGGACATATTTTTCCGTTCTTCTTACTCTCGGCCTTGTAAAAGCCATAGAGATTGTATTCCAATGTTACATCGCCTGTATCGTATGCAGCACCCAAAGGAGTGAATTTTGTTCTTTTTTCGTGTTTGCCACTTCCATAAAGGATTGGATTGTCCGTGTTTCCCTGACTAGACATGTAAGGCGGTCGTCTCAAGACTACCCATTCAAACAATCCATTTTAGCCACACCGCCTTTTTAAACTAGTTTATCTCGGCCATCTAAAGAGGAAATTGTCGTTATATAAATACTTTGTTAACGTTTTTAAACATTTATTGTTTTTTACTATTTAACCCAGCCCGGGGCGATCTAAGGATGCGCTCCAGGAGCCTGGGTTACCTTTATGTTACTCCTATTTGAACCAATTTTGTTTTTCTTTTTAGCGCTTTGTAATAATATATTTTAAAAAGTATTTTATTTATTTTTAAATTAATTTAACTCTGTGATATTCAATTTATTTTAATCATTATTTTTTTAAAATGTATCCCCTCAATTTGTAATGTAACTTTTTTTTCAACTTAAGGCTATTTTCATTTTTAAAAAATAATTTTTAATTTGTGAACTTAAGGCAATATATTCTTTGGCTTTTGATCCCTGTGTTTTTAAGTTTTTTCTTTCACAAAAAAAAATTGTGTAAGATTTTTGGCGCTCTATTAATCTAAAAAAATTGATAGTGAATTCTTTGAAGAAAAAAATAAGTTCCAACTTACATTGCTGTGTAAAAGACAGAAAAAATCGTGCAGATGGTTTAGAAGAAAGCGACAACGATTCCTTGAGCCTAAATAAGACACAGCATAGTTCTCCTAAGGTGCATAGTAAAGATCCTGCTCTAGCAAAGAAAACTGAAACACTTACCAGAACTTTTCAAGATAACCCAATCACCTCTGCCAACCACCAGAAAGCCAAAGAAAAATATCCTTATTCATATAAAGAAGTAACTCACTTTTACATGGAATGCAAAATTAACGGCAATAGAACGTTTTCCCTCTTGCAGATACAGGAACATCTTGTAATATTATCTCTGATGAATGCTTAAAACGCTTTGGCCTTTCTCATCTAATTGATAGAACAATTAATGCATCACTGATGTTTTTAGAATATCAAAAATGTATTGGACAAGTCCATCTAACCTGGTTGGAAGTATGTGGAAAAGTTATCCCTTGCACTTTCATGGGGTCATAGAAAGTCGTTCTGTTGATGTCCTTATCGGAATAAACTCAATCAAAGCCCTCAATCTTGAATTTGATTTAAAGTATGGGTGGATTGTGAACAGAGAGAGTGGTTTAGGGCAACCATTTCTAACAAGGACACAGGTTGCCAAAGCTCTTGAAGAAAACGATAGAGGATGCTCAGAGTTTGATGATCTACAAACTAATGTACAAGAGAAGAACGTAAGACTCGCAAATTCAGGAACATTTTGCAAAAAATTGAGCTTGAAAAGAAACTACAATTAAATAAAAAAGAGGCCCAAACGGATCATCCGGAATTATATGTGCATTCTTTTTGCCTACCACACATCAATATCAAGCTGTGCAACATTTCTAAATTAGCTCTGTTCGATACGGGTTCAGATATAAATCTAATGTCACTGGAGGCGGCAGTATTATACGGACTTACACCATATATTGACACAAGTTATATCCATTCCATAAAAGGTATAGGTGCGACTTTGAGCGTTGGCTACATTTATTCAGCCCCTTTCCAGATAGGGAAGCATGTAATTCCTACCTCCTTCGCTGTATTGGAAGTTTTGCCTGCAGGTATCATTTTGGGAGTTGAATTTATGAATAGAAACAATATCAAAATCCTTATAACATAGAACAGAATGGTTATCAGGGGAACAGAAATCCCCTTTTGTAATATGAAAAAATATATAAATTCTCTATATGAAAATATAATTCCAAAAATCTTGACATATTCATAACGATTGATAAGTATTCAAGGACACCACATCCCAGGCAGAGTTTCTAAGCATCGCATGTATATAGAGAGATACCCAGGTTCCTGGAGTGAACACATGTAAATAGATTTTTCTATAAAATTAGATTTTTTTTTATAATGATATATAACTTGAGTAATAATTTCTTTCAACCCTTTTACTACTACTAGATGTGTTTGTTGTTAGCCAGTGCTGGTACCATAGAAGTACCGTAATTGAAGAACACCCATGTTTTTATATTCAATAAATAACATACTCAAGATCGACAAAGAAACAAGGTTTACTCGCACTAATCCATTTTACTGCAATGTTGATGCGTGAGGCTCCCCAATTGGGGCAGTCTTTGATAATAGCGTTAAAGCTAGATCAATGGACTTACACTCATAGACAAAACTTGAGGAAGTTTTATATTTTGATGTCTGTTTTTTTTTTAAGAAGACAGAGGCTGTTCACACTTTGGTTATCTCGTGTATCTTCAATTAAGGTCACTGTAATATCTTTCAGAGTTATTGTCTGGATCTCGATATATACATGCTAGGAGCCAATGGAAACTTGGGTGTCCAAAATTGCGAGACTACGAAATTCAAGAACAAAGGAGGAGCTCCCACTAATCCAGGTAACCCTTCCTAAGACTGCAAGGAATAAAGAAATCTACAATATCAAAGATCTCTGCGACATGAAGTGCAAAGTCGAGGCTTACAGGGCTCCCAAAGGCCCCGGACAATGTCATAGGTGCCAAAACTTTGGGCACTCTCAGTTTGAATGCAGGGAAACTCCCAAATGTGTAAAATTGACAAAGCATTCGACAAAGTCTGGCACGAAGCCCTTCTCTACAAAATGTGCAAAAAGCACCTTCCTGGAGACATCATAAAAATAACGCAAAACTTCTTAACGAATAGAACATTCAAGGTACGAATCAAAGACAAACTGTCAACAGCTAGGAACATCCTTGCCGGGGTCCCCCAAGGTTCAGTCACAGGACCAACCTTATTTGACATATATATAGACGACTTCCCCTGTATTGAAGACACCTATTTGCCGATGATACCGCCATTTTAGCCTCGACATACGACTTCGATAGACTCCAAGAGGCCTGCATCTTTTCCACGCTCTGGTGTAAAGAATGGCGAGTCACAATGAACCCCCAAAAAAGTAAAGCAATAATTTTCTCCAGAAAAAAAGACAAAATTAAGAAACCTTTAGACAAACTTTTTGTCTTCGAAGACAATATTAAATGGAAAGAGAACATCCGATACCTAGGGATGACCCTAGATGAGCACCTAACCTTCAAAAAACACATCAAAAACAGAATTAATTTGGCGAAAGCTGCCCAACACCGATTATCCCTACTTCTAGGACCGAAAAGCAAATTATCCCTTCATTGTAAAAGAACCATTTACACGTCAATAATAAGACCAATACTCATATATGGCCACCCCATTTTTATGACAGCACATAAGACCATCCTTAAAAAGCTAGAAAACTTCGAAAATAAAATGATCAGAAAAATCATGTCTACACCCTGGTTCGTTCGGAACACAATCCTCAGGAACGATCTAAATATCGAAAACATCAATGACTACGTTTTTAGACAATCATTTAAATTCTATGAAAAATTAGAAAACCCCACCTTTAAGGATGCCACAAATTACAAATGCGGAAAAAGGAAAATAAGAAATTCAAAACCTAGACAAATTCTCCATCAATTAAGCCAGAATGACGAAAGGTGAAAAAAAAAGGAAAAACAAACCCACCTTGAATATCAAACAAGTCAGAAAAAACCTTCTCAAGAACAATATCCCCAAGGACCTGAGGACCCAAAAACATCATTATAAATTATAATTGTAAATGAACCCCTGTACATAACCACCCCCCTCAGTATATTGTAAATATGATGATCTAGGTTGCTCTTTTTGAGCGGCACCTAATAAAGTTATTGGAACTGGAACTGGATGGATATTTTATAAGTCGGTGGACGAGTGGGTAACACCCTCGATTCCCGACAGTCATGAACCGGGATTGAATCCCACGTTAACCTTTTGTTTAATATGTGAATAACCTTCATATATTATTCACTGTTTCAATAATCATAAACTAGGTTGCTCTTGTTGAGCGGTACCTAATAAAGGGATTTTGAAACGAACCAATGGATATTTTGCTGGGAGTAAAATTGATCTATAAAATAATATAAAATTTATTTATAAAAAAAAGTGTGTGGCTTTGTCACCGACAGAGTCCGCTAGTTTGCGTAGACAGTCAATAAATGGCGCTTAGTTTTAGCGTCTATTTAGAAAGAAGGGCAACCTTTATACAGTTAAACCTGTCTATAGCGCCCCCTCTTGGGACTCCGCAAAATAGGGTGCTATAGAGAGGGGGTGCTATAGACAGGTCACTTTTAATGTAAATCGTATCATACTACGTATTTAAAATCGGGCACTATATAGACAGGTTTAACTGTATATAAATTAACACAAAAGTCATTCAAAGCCTAAAAACTATTTTTAGATATTCTAGGAGTTATATAAAATTATTATATATTATTATTTATTCAGGTAACCCGGATTTTCCTGGAGCATACTAAAGTCGCCAACTATCCGGGTTGGTCTTTAGATTTCACGTCTAATGGTGGCAGCAGACATCCAGTTTATCAGGTGTCGCCAGGCTGACTTGTGCTTGGGGATGTTCTGCAGGTCTTCAGGGGCAAATATACAAGGTATGTCCCATAAGTTCCCGGACTGGGTCCATAAAAAAAAAAAGGTAAGAATTTTTTTAAATTTTTTTATTAAAACTTTTCAAAGTAATCCCCCCTTGCTTCAACGCACCAGCGCCATCGTTTCTCCCAATTGTCGAAACAGTTTTTATAGGCCTCTTTTGGAATGCTCTTCAATGCCAGCAGCGATTTTTCTATTATGTCTTCCCTGGTGTCAAAATGTCTTCCTTTTAGAACTGCTTTGAGTTTGGGGAACAGAAAAAAAGTCATTTGGTGCGATGTCTGGGGAATAGGGTGGTTGAGGTAGGATTTCTGCCCCG